AAGATTCAAATATGTTCATCTTATTGACAACTAATTCACATATGAAACCATCTACAGCAAACATCATGCACGAACAGATATAAAGTACAGGTATCGGTTTTATCTGCACAACCCCTGTTTTTGTTAATGTGCACATGTCTCATCGTCGTGTATGTGTATCTCTACGAGCATGCATCAAGGTTGAAGAACATGATCATATGACCAACATATATCGATTATAGTGTTCATTAGGTTCACACGGTGTAGCTAATGTTCATATATCTAGGTTCACACGGTGTAGCTAATGTTCATATATCTAGGGTTCACACCATAGGGTTCACATGAATGTTCATACCTTGATATAGGCACGAAGATGAACGATTGTTCATACACATATTAATTAATACAAATTTTTGACCAATTTATCTTTTGAACAATTGTTCATATACATATTAATTAATATATTAATTAAATTATTGTTTATTTAATCTCATTTAATAATAACCGTTAGATTAGAAAATAAACGATTAAGATGGGTTAGCAWAGTTTGCACAAAATATTGGGTTAGTATTTGAACCAGCCCCTATATATATATATATATATATATATATATAATATTCTATCATCCACATGTGCCACCTTAAACGACATAACCTACAACTGGTAACGCCTCGTTTTCATACCATCGTGTGTCGACACCAACTGTCTTTCTTTCGTTTTTTTTTATTTGTTTGCAAACTCAAAAAAGTTCATACAACTTATTACTTACTTACATTAGTTCGATACAGTAGCATCATGAACTTTACAATTGTATAAACATTCTAAGAACAGTTCAATAGCGTAACACATATAACAACTATTATAAAAACTATAACTCTTCATGTCGGTCCTTTCATGTCTTATTTGAGATATACATATATGAAATATGTAAGTTTTAAGCTTAATAAGCAGTTATGATTTCATAAAATATATTTCATTTTAATGCATGAATGACAATTCAATACATTTCGTATAATTATGCATGATAATTTTGATGCATGAAACCACTTATGTGAAAACATCATTTGGACATTATCCGTGAATGCGAGATTTTATATGTGTAAGCATGCAAAATATTTTCAACGGGATCCTTGATTCCTAGGGTTCCGCAAACGATCTTCCGTCTGAGGTCCGTTTGCAAGACGTCCTCTATACTTATACTCCGTTAGATAATGAATATGACCATACTTTCACATCCACAAAAATTTTCATACACCAAATGTAAAATACATGTTTTTCTCATAAAATGCATTATAAGCATAACCTTATTTCATGCAAGGTAAACTTACCAAAACATCATTTCAAAATATTCATCATGCATAAATACATACATACATATAGATACATACATATATATATATATATACATACATACATATACATACATATATATATATACATACATACATATATATATATACACACACATATATATAGCACATATTATCATTTCTCATAATATATACTCATATTATTTACTTAATCGTGATGCTTGATTTACCACCTTAAATTGGATGTCTCTCTAACTTACTTTTGGTATTTTTGTGTGCTCTTTATAAAAATGAAACATATATGTTTAATAATTGTAATATGGGAAGCATGAGGTGACGAATTATGATGAGACGATGGACGTAAAATTCATCAATAATTTATGTAATTTCCTTAGTCCGTATATATTTATATAAATATATAATATTTTATTTATTATATATATTATTGTATTTATGGAGTGTAGCTTTGTTATGTAATCTCAAATCTAAGTATAAGCATATATTTACCTACCTATATGGATGCTATTTCTATACCTTTTTCCGACTTTTATAAATTTCCTTAGACTTTGATATTTTCAGTATCTCGATCTTTCAACTTATATATATGTGTTGTGTGTGTGTGAGAAACCGTATAGGCGAAAGATCGTGTGAGAAGGAGATTTAAGGTGAGGAATATAAGAAGGGATATAGATCATTGATCACTTTTAATCTCAAACCCACCCATGTATCGCGCTTGATACGGGGATTGATCTGGTCCCAAAAAATTAACCTTTTATGATTACATCGGAAATAATCTAACAAAAGGGGGATTATTCAGGCAGGCTCAATGGATAACGAGGATGGAATAGCGGTTGGATGGCTAAGACATCCTATCTTTAGAGCATCTCGTAATAATGTGCATCGAAGGGTGGTGATCACTTCTTACGCTTTTCACCTAAACTGTCCTTCTCATCGGAACTCAACTATATGTATGTATGTGTGTGCACACACACACATATGTGCGTGTTTGTGTGAAATATCCTCTTTCCAATGATATCAATATTTGATATTAAAATCTTAACTTTTGTATTTGATGTAAATATCTCCACTTCAGATAAAATATCTTAATTATCTTAAAGATTTAAGATACTTAAATGAACATAATTTTGTTTTTTTTTTTGTAAGGATGTCCGGACCAAAGCCCGACTAATCCCCGGCAAATTTGGAGGCTAAACATGGCCCCACTTAAATGTCGCCAACACTCCCTTCCCAGGGCTCGAACTCGGGTTCATGACTATGTCATGCCCAAACCTTTACCACTAGGCTGGAAGGTCTTTGACAACATAATTTTGTTGCTATTGTAATTGTAAAACCGGGGTGTTACAACAATATTTCATACTTTGTAGTTTAGAATGGCCTTATAGTATGAGCGGTTGTCCTTTTTATGTATCGGGCGGTGAATCATTTCTATCTCTTGCTCAATCTTTGTCTTGGTGGAAGGTTACTCTTTTTAAAAAGTACTAGAAGAGTACTTGCGCAATGCAGCGAAATACATCTTAATTTTAATATTTTATTTTATTATTTATCTCAGTCGATGTTATAATATGGTTTTAGGTGATTTTAAAAAAGCGATGATGTTTTTATTTCTTCAATAAAATATAAATTTGAAGATATCATAAAAATTTGACAAAAGTATATCGATATTAGTATCAAATTAACTATTTAAAATTCCTCAATTTTGTTTCAATTTTTTATTATAATTTAATTTAGGTTCAATAACGAAGTAATTTATATTTGATTTAATAATATAATTTTCTTATAAAGATAATAATTAATTATTTTATTAGAACTCGATAATTATTCTAATTATATTTTAGATTATTTATATTTTAAAATAAGATGTTTATCCTCTATTTGATTATGTTTATCCGCGGTTAGTTACACGAATTCAAACATCGAGCTTTAATAAATTGTACTTATGCATAATTTACTTGTAATCTTGAATTTTAAGTAATATGCATCAATATACAGTACTTCATGCATAGAAAATGATTTTTAAGAGTTTTTTGTTAAATGCTTTATAATATAGTAAAGATATAATATTTATATACGGCAAAATATTTATGTACACTCTTTATTTTTATGAAGCAAACCCTAATCTCCAAGAAGGTTAAGATTTACCGATTATCCAGATGCCGCTAAGCCAACAACCCTTTTTTTTATAGTAGTTACTCATTATGTTTCCTCACTCGTTTCTTCATCTTTGCTCCCCCAATTCGTCACACACGTTGAACTACTTATTGGGGGTTTCTCCCCTGTTTAAGTTGACGTTGAATTGTTAACCACGCTGCGTATAAAACACAATAAAAACTTACTGGATCAAAGAAAATTAAACAACGTTTATTAGATTACTTACAGTTCATTTGTTTTTCAAAGGAGTGTGAACTGAAGTTTCTTTTCTTGATGGACTTTATTAATTTAATATATTGGTATGGACACTGAATTTTATAGTTATTATCGAGAAAAGATAAATCGAGGGTGATATATGATATAATGTCATGATGACCATGACATACGTGATTTATGCATTTGATGGCCGTGGGACCATCCCCCATATAGTGCGGGCCTTTCAAAGGACGGTGGCATATACCCTTTTTTTTAGCATAATCTAATACTGCTTTTATGTTTCTTAGTGAGTGACGTTCTGATCTTGAAATCAAATCAACTTAGGTCGTTGACAAAGACAACATTTTTTTGGCAAATCAAGTCATCTGATAGAGTCGGGTTTGTATGGTATCTAAGCGTTCTGCAGTAGAGCTTCTACTGTCGTTTTTTGGGTTGTTTCGATGAGAACCAACTACAAATTGTCAAATTAATATAACAACAAAATGTTACAACAAGTATCAAACAAACAAATGTATTCTTTTTGACCAACAAACACTAATTTCTATGGAGTCGAACAACATCATTCGTGTCCAAATACTAGTGTTCACATTCTGTCAATTTTTCCTTTTAAGTTTCTAATAAATTATAGTTTTTTTTTTTTTTTTCGATTTTCTCTCTGAAACAGTTGGGAGATAGTATATATTTATCAGAAGTCCTTTTGACTTGTTCTGTATTAAACCCATGACTTGTTCTGTATTTGGATAAAATTATCCCACTTTTTTTTACCAACTGAACTACACGTCAGAAGTCGTTTTGACTTTATTATTGCACATATATGATTCTCGAATTACAAAAGGTTTCGGACTACATATATCCATGCAAGAAAATCACTTTCAAAAACAGATCGTTAAAAATAAAACATACTAAGAGTTCAAATAAGAGTGCTAAAATATTATGAGAAGGTATGAAATGAAAGTTAATAAATAGATCATATGTGAATTATTGAGAAAAAAATCATTCGATAAGTTCCATTCTTTTTTTCCTTTTTTTTTGCAATTATGTCCGTTATATTTTTCAACTAGTTTTTTAAAATATCGTGTTAGATCATTTTATATTATTATACGAGCCTTTTAATCATTATACACCAAATCATTCATTAACTACCAAATCGCAGGTACGAGAATACCCCATGTTCTTCTTTTAGTCTTAGGATTCTCAGCAATAAATCAAATAAAAATGAATATAAATTTCTTGATATCCTCTTCAAACAATGAACAATCGTCAAACCCCATAGCTGTAATGGCATCTTACTCGAATATGTTTCGTTATCTTGCTATTTCTACACCATTTTTTTGCCACCTTTTTTCCATACCAAAATCATGGCTTTCTCTCACCTTTTCATGTTCGTATTTCTTGTTGCAGGTTCTGCCGTCGCCGGCGACCAGATAAACGCCGATATCACCATCGGTTTCACCGAGGCAGAAAGAAATGGTCTGTTGGCACTCAAATCTCGTTTTCACAACCCTTTTCTCGACGCCGGATGGCAAAGCTTCAATTGCCTCCAATGGTATGGTGTCAACTGCAGTGGCGGTGGAGTCGTCGGTGTAACCCTCGAGAATCTCGGCATCACCGGCGAAATCGTCGCTGATTCGCTTCTCAATCTCACCTCGTTGTCGGTTTTGAGCTTCAAGAACAATTCGATATTTGGGCAGATGATGGACTTCTCGAAGAACCCGAATTTGGCACGGCTTGATTTGTCGAGCAACAACTTTGACGGGTCGATTTCGCCTTCGCTCGTCAACCTGGTTTTGCTGGAGTCGTTGCAGCTCCAGCAGAATAGGTTGACGGGTTCTATTCCCTGGTTCGATCAGTCTAGCTTGAAACAATTGAACGTATCGAACAATAACCTCTCAGGACCGATACCGAATACCAAAACGCTTGAATCATTTGGTCCTTCATCGTATGATCATAATCAGTGGTTGTGTGGGCCACCCTCTCCTAGAGTGTGTGGCCCCACAACATCGGATGATGATCATAGTTCTGGATCAAACAAGTCTACTCTTTTGATTATCGTTAACGTTATAGGTGTATTCATTATCGTTATTCTGTTAGTGTTGTTCTACAAAAAGAAACAAAAACTTGACCGAAAGAGAATGGAGAACAAGAACACCATGGTTGAGGAGGACGCGGAAAAGGCGAGTAAGGTGATGATTGACGATCACCACGAAAATGTACCGAAACCAGACAAAGGAAACCTTGTTTTTGTGGACGGCGACCCCGAGTTCGAGCTAGGGGACCTTATGAAAGCTTCCGCCGAGAGTCTAGGCAAAGGGAATTTCGGGAACACGTACAGGGCTAGGTTGGAAGACGGAAGAAACGTGATCGTGAAACGGCTAAGGGATTTGAAGCCGTTGAGTAGCGATGAATTCGTAACTCAAATGAATGCGATCGCGGCCCAGAAACACCCGAATCTGACGCTGCTTCTTGCGTACTATTACTCCAAACACGAGAAATTGTTGGTGCATAAGTTTGTGACAAACGGGAACCTTTTCGATCACCTTCACGGTAGCTTTTCCCCCATTCAATTTCATTTGTAGTTTCATATTCGTGTAACTCGTAAAACTTGATAATTCGACCAAAGGGTCATCGGCTCAATGGTATCCGAGTTACTGCTAGAGCCTAGCCTCCGTGGAGGTCATGGTTCAAACCTCAAACGTGAGGAGTGTACATGTATCGGGCGTATATAAATATTACATCCTTCAAAAACTTTGATAATTGGATATAGGAGGAAGAGGGACGAACGATCGAGTTCCGTTTCGATGGAACGCAAGGTTAACCATTGCACGCGGAGTGGCTCGAGCCATGGAGTACTTACACACGAACCCTAATTTACAAACCCTAGTTCCCCATGGCAATCTAAAATCATCCAATGTACTCATTGATGAGAATAATAATGCTCTCATTTCGGGCTACGGTCTTACGGGGATCATCTCCAACACGATATCCGCTCAACAAATGGTTGCCTTCAAATCTCCCGAGTTCGTGACCTCCAAAAGGATCTCAAAGAAGTCCGACGTATGGAGCTATGGAACCCTAGTAATGGAGCTCTTGACCGGGAGACTTGGCGTTCACTCGGCTCCGCAGGATGACAAAGCCGTGGATCTATGTAGTTGGGTCCACCGTGCGGTTCGTGAAGAATGGACCGCGGAGATCTTCGATTTGGAAATCATGGTGCAAAGGAGCGCAATCCATGGGATGTTGAAACTGCTACAACTAGCGGTGCGTTGTTGCGACAAAGCACCAGAAAAACGACCCGAGATGAGCGAGGTAGCACGTGACGTGGAGAGCATTAAGGTTGGTAATGTCGATTCAGAGAGCGAAGAAGATTTATCCGTTGATCGTTCATTGACAGATGATTCCATGTCCGCGACCTCGTCAAGGTGATCTTATTATGATGCTAGAAAATCTGTACAAAGATTTCTGGACCTTCATCTTACGCCGTTTATGCAGTTATGAAAGTGCATAAACGACTTAGGTGATGTAGGGCCAAGGGGATTCGAGAATGCATAGTACAAAGTGGTCAATTTGGTTATTAGGAAACGAGAATAAATCTAACTTTTGGCACGCAAGTAGTTAACGAGCGTTTTGTTCGGTTAATGTATCTAGTCATAAATGTTACTAATAAATTCGGAATGCAGATTCAAGGTTTCTTTACTGTCGTTTAACAACTCTTAAATTTACGGCATAAGTAAAACTGTTGCAAATTTTGGACAAACAACTAAAATCATACAATTATATAGCATATTTAATTACTTAAAATGGTAATCTAAAGAATGACAATATATCATATTTGAAAATAACTGTCATAAGTTATTACTATTCTGAATACTTTCACCAACAAATGGAACCGTAATCAGTCGAAAACGTATGTGAAGATCTTTCGTGGGTGATACCCACCAACAGATCACCGACGGAAGTAATCAACGGGAGATCACCGAAAGACTGTCACAAACGGATCACCGATGGTTCTTTCCGTGATCACCGACGGCTATCCGTTAATCGCGGTGCTTATTATTAGAATAAATTACAGATTTGGTCCCTGTGGTTTGCTGGTCTCTGTCTCTCTAACACCCGTTGACGTCGTTCCCGTGCGGCCGCTAGCGGGTGATCGCCCTCTTATCTCTCTCTCTCTAATATATATATATATATATATATATATATTCTCCTGCCACGCCATATTTTCCGACGAGATCGGCCCCTCCCCTCCCCCGTTCCCCCATCTTTTCGTCTTTGTCCGAAGAACATCACCTTCGTCAATCACCCCAACCCGCCACCTCTCTCCATCACCATCGACCCTCTTTTAAATACACACACACCGACACACCGAGACACCCTTTTGTTAAATAAATAAACACAGCCACACATACATATATAGAGTTTGTTTCAAATACAATCCGTCGTATTTGTACAACCAATGCGATCCAATAAATTGAGATATTTATGGAAATGATGAGAGTTCATTTATTATGATTTGAATATTTATGGAAGATGAATATGGTTCATTAATTATGATCAATACTTTATATTAAGAAACAATCAAAACTTCTATGAAATCATATGAAATGGATGGTTGAGATTGAGTTGTATTGGCTTCACAAATATCAAGGGTTGTATAATATCTAACCTCTACATATATATATATATATATATATACATACATGTATATATATACACACACATGGACTCCGTTAAATACACACCTCACACCACACATATATGCATATATACACACTCTGTCTCTCTTAAACGCGCGCACACACACACATTGTTAAACATAGACACCACACATATATAGATATATATATACACACACATTTTATGACTTTCGATTAAACAGATACACACACATATATCTACCCTCTGTTAAACACACACCCACGGTACACCCAACACACACAGAGCACACTCAAAGAACACATCACAGCAGTGTTGGGGGAGTCATCTTTGCAGTGGGGGTGGAGGTCACGCAGGAGATCTTATCGGAGGTTAAGTTAGAGATCTTATCAGAGGTTAAGCTGGAGATCTTATTGGAGATGACGCCGGAGATATTACCGGAGGTCACGCCGGAGGGGATGTGTGGTGGGTTGCCGTCGGGGGAGAGAGAGTTGGAGTTTTAATATAAGAAAAAAAGGGAAATGAAAAGTATTTAGAAAAAGGGGTAAAATGACTATTTTGCCCCTTATTTAAATGGAAGAAGGTAACGACCGTCAGAAGAAGGTACCAATCTGTTACAAAATGACATATGATGAGTCCTAATATGTAACAAATGAAGTTCATAGACCATTTTCATAAAAACCAGTAAAACCATAGGGACCAAATCTGTAATTTACTATTATTACTAATTTAAAGAAAAACTGTATTTCTCTATATATTTTATATACTAACCCGCCAATAATTATCAAAATACCAAATAATCTAATACAATTATCAAAAGGAAAAAATGGTTATTATAATGGCAAATCTATATAATCTAACTAGAGGGATCCGGAAGGGAGTCCACCAATGGTCATGGACGGAATACGGCCTCGTTGTTAGATACTCATTTGTGCATTTGGTATATTGGATAGGATAATATAACACAAAACAAGGATTACTGTTTTTACGATTGAGAGAACGTTTATATGAAACAAACAAAAATAAAATGAAACAACCATGTTTCACCAATACATTAGTGATCTGACGGAAATCACCTATGGAGTAGGTTGCTTTTGTCCGTGATACTCCTATAGTCAAAACAGACCCCCTATACTTTTCAAGTTTCCACTTTCTCCCCTCAGATAGAAATTCCATTCATTTAAAAGAATCCAAATATTAATATATTCCATCTACCATACGTCTTTATATTTCTAACCCATCAACCATCCATTCCAAATATCATTCCTGTTCATCGGTTGACAATTAGATGTGATGGAAACCAAACCGATCCAATTATTCATTGAATGTTGGATTTTATCAAGCGACCCGATTCGATTAACATTGGATAACCGATCCAATCCTATCCAATGGATGATTGGATCGGTTCAGTTCCATCCATTGGATATTTTTACTAGATATCCATCGGATATCCAATGAATGAGCCGATGGGATTGGAATTCAATCCAATGCTCTAACAATGATACAAATTAATTAATCACTTTCAATATGTGTTAAAGCCAATACAAGGGAAGTTAAAAATTCAAAGCCCCACATAAAACAAATTTCTATTTAAACGATTTGAAATAAATTAATAGGACAATAGTTGGATAATGGTCGGATGGACAACTGGATGGTCATCGGATGATTAATTGGATGTTGACCAATTCGGTTCGGTTTTGGTCGGTTCTAGACTGCCATCTGAGAACTGACATATCCAAATTGGATGTTGAAATTTTCAATCGGATCCGATCCAATTACAATCGGATATCCAATTATGGTCGGTTGGTTCTAGTTGGATCAGTCGGTTCCAATTGGATCGGTTGATTTTCTACCCACCCCTAGCAAATACTCAATTGAATACAACATATAAAAACCTGTTCTATTTTCGTGTTTCCTTTTCTTCATGGCCGTCCCTTGGTGAAAAGATGGACCCTTTAGCCAACGGTCTTCGATCCCCTTCCCATTCTAATCGGTGGGACACGACTCTCCTCAGCGCAACTCTATTGAATGGACCGTTGTATCAAGGAGAGCAAATCTTCATTCCTCCATTCCAAACTGATCAACAAGCGTATTTCTCGACAGTTAACAACTGAAAGGCAAGAAAAGAATACATACTACAAAAGCCATAATCTTGAAGCTTTTCATTTGCATAACCAATTCGACACGCTAAAGCTTTAGATCGAGATAAAGATCGACTTTAAAAGAATAAGGATATATATATTAAGACCAAAATTGTGTACACTGTTTACAAAGAATGTTAAAAATGTTCCTACGTCGCTGAACTATACAGATATGGGCGTTACTAATAACTAGTTAGAAAAGATAATTACAACGACAATATCGAGAGGACAAAGAGTTTGTACCAACGAAATCCAGGATTGTCGAAACTGGAGTGGGTGGCGAGGGTTTAAGGTAGAAAAGATCATAGCAAGCTTAGCCCAATTTTCCGATTTCCATTTTCTTCCGCAAAGCCTTATGACCATGGTAAATGAATGAATCTACTATTCCTGCAACTGTGAATATACCTGAATACGACATGAGAAGATCATTTGGTTGATGGAAAGAACTATCAATTGTATCGGTTGGACATTTGAAGCATAATCAAACATAGGGGAAAGGTTGAAATGAGAACCATAAATATCCTGAGAACCAACTATTTCATGTATTATTCATGATGAATGACCCTAAATATTCATGCATATCGTTCATTGTTCATGATATCATGTATTTTGATGAAAATACATGAATAGTTAGTCCTTAAGTAAAATATTTACGCTTCTCATTTCAACCTACCCCATCAAACATATATACCTCCAACTATTGCACAAAGATTAGTCAAGAAGTGTAAGAAGGAGGTATGCGTTTCTGTGAAAGTCACCTGCGGAAGCCACCAAGAGGAATTGTAAAAATAGAGTAGACAGTGTAAAAAATGGGTTTGTTTCCAATAACGTCGTTTCTCCTATAACACAAGGATGGGACCTAGATCAAGTTGTCCACTTTTTAACCATGCATAATGGATAAATTTCCTCTGGGACAGGTATGCCTACAGAAATGAAACAGACCTTAATTGCAGAGAGGTCATAGAAGAAAAAGACTCCAGGAAGCGCCCGTTGGCCAAGTTTTTCTGGACCCTTATAATGTTCTGTCACAGAGAACTGTAGGATACAAATTCCATGCGTTTCAGAACATAAAATTTGATCACAAATTCACAATACATTTCCTCTTAAAGTTCATGAAATACCTGATTTGACTGAATAACTGGGCCTCTAACAGGAGTGTATACAGTTGGCACCACCTGAAATTTAGACCAGATTTATATTATATATCTCTATATACGTAAGTATGCATCATGTAGGTATGTAGGTAATGAGAGTTGTGGACTCACTGTAGAGTACTAACCTTAAGGAAATACTGATACATTCCATTTGGTATTCCTTGAAACCAATGCACCCTGAATAACGATACAAATAGCAATAACGAAAAGCTCAAACACTTGTTATCAAATCTCTGAGTTTAAAAGGAACTGTTTTGACACTTGAAAGTTCAACATGAACTCAATTTTTGGAGAGAGAGGAGAGAGTACGTTATGGTAATAAAAATCTTACCCATCAAGTGGATTCACAATACCAGGATAATTGACTCCAAAAGCTAGTTTATTTATCTTGTGACTTATCTGAAAATTTTATTAGCATTTAAAAGTAAAAATTACAGAATAAGAGAGTTCGATTTTAAATTGATTGAATTCTATGGTAAAAGTGTAGAAGATGGTAGCCTACATTATAACCATCCTCTTGAAAGGCCTGGCCTTCATGGCCTACATGTATATTGGACAGATGAAAGCTTTTGACAAAGTGAAAATTTCCAGCCACTTTGTTGACCTCTAAAGATCCGTGCACTTTACATCCTTCACCTTCTTCAGATTTAATCCTCTGAACAAAACCTTCTCGTTTGCACTAACATGTCAAGAATGTTAAACTTTAGTGTTGTTTTTTACGATTTAGGCATGAACTTGAATCAAACCAACCTGATCAATCAGATCAGGATTCATTAATCCCCAGCCTTTCCTTCGATATGCTTCACGAACCTCTTCACATGAATTACAACATTCATCTTCTGACTGGATTGTTAAACAGTAACAAGAATCAATGATTTGATAAAATTTTCTAAGTTCATCTCGTGATGCATCAAAGAAGACGTACCTTCTCTGCACCATAACATGAACCACAATATGTTTCATTATGCTCAAGCTCTCCTCCATGTTTCTGCATGGGCTTTCCAATCTTAGGGGTACCCATCCGATCATATCTCATTTGAATCTCGTTGCCATTAGCATCGATTCTGGTCTTCATTACAGAATGTTTCTGCAAGCATAGATTTTGGTCAAAATGGCATGAACAAAATAGCTGGAGAACACTTTAAGCACACATACAATATCAAGATGTTGCTCCCCACTGATATCGATGGCATCAAGGCTGAGTAATGTACACGAAACGGCAGGGAATGTGATATCAAACTGCATTTACAAGCATCATACATGAATTGAGTTCTGAGTCCATATTTCGATCTAAATCTCAGAAATAATGACAAACTTTACATTAATATGTAGTTTTTCCCCTCTTGAAGTATCAACTACAAGCTTTGTTTCAGTTACTGTTTGTAGATATAGTCCTGCAATGGGAGAAAACACCAACAACTTTCAGATGTTGGAATTAATATGAGATAAGCATATTAACACATTCCAAATGCATATTAACACTCTCCTTCCCTCTTTGTAAAAATGCCAAAAAGAATCCTATAGATTATGATCCGCAACCAAAAATGCAAAAAGAACCGATCACTTTTATTCTTCATAATTTGTTCATTCTTGCAAATTAGAACACTCTTTTTATGTTTTTAAAAAAACTGTTGTTTTGTTTACAAGAATATGCGAAGTATGATGTTCAAGAAAAAGCCAAGTAACTTGTATCATATTGGATCTCAAATACTATAAACGCATGATGTTAATGCACCAAGAAGGAAATGCATGCTGAAATTACTCATGAATCAAAAGGAAATTCATCGAACTTCAAAACAGGCCATTAAATCGCTAATAGCTACACTGAGATTCCAGATGACGAATTCTTTGAATCAAACACAGAATTATAAAAAAAATCAATTCCTTCTATAAGAAATGCTAATCATATGCTCGATACGAAAGAATTTTACCGAGCTCAGAGAAAACAAGGAAGATCATTGCAATGGAGGAAACGAGGGTAATAACACCACCAGACAGCGTACGGCTGTAGAAATCCTCGTTAACTTTTGGGTACGCGTCCAGATTCCGAACTCGACTGAAAACTCTGTTCATAATGCCCGAAGAAGGCATAGCATCCAAACGAACCTAAAATTCCAAACCGACACCAATTTCTCTTGAAATTCAGATTAGTTTGTATCAGATTTAAAACTCACCACCGCCTCGATTTTTCATTCCTCAATCTACACGCGTCTGTTTCTTCTCACTTGTTAATATATTTCAAACGGTGGAGGAGGTGCCGGACGGCGCCGGAAAATGTTAAAGAGCAATTTTGTATGAACTCCGGTGAAATTTCCCGTTGGCTTTGAATTCGCTGGACGAAACTCCGCCTATTTTTGCTTTAATTGCGTGTTTTTGGTGGGTCAGAGAATCAACTGCTAATCTACGGGCCTACGGTTTTTAATACCGTCGAATGGATTTTATATTTCAAAAACAACCCTAAGGTTTAGTACAATTACATATTACACCTTATTTTTAAAGAAATTACACACAACGCCTTCACTCATAATTCAGTTTCAAATAACATACTTTCATTTATGATTATTTGATTATTTAAAGGTTGAATAATCAATTTGTTTACTATCAGGGTTATTTACGGCATAAATGTTTATTAATTGTTATTTAGGGGCAGTTTATCAAACACTTATTCGGGTAAGTGAACATAAAGTCACATTATTTACCGGATGAACATGGTAAGAACCAAAAATCTTATCCGGTAAGAGCGAGACAAGGACCAAGAGTCTTACCCGGTAAGTGAGGGCGACGACTCTTACCACAATAAGCGCGTACCGGGTAAATTGTTGCATACGATACTGTTTTGGTGGACTAGAATCTTACCCGGTAAATAAACGATAGTGTTACATTTTACCAGTAAGCGCTTACTGGGTAAGTGTTTGATAAACGGGCCCTTACTTTATTAGATGAGTATGATAAGATCTGAGATTTTATTTGGTAAAAAACGTTGTAGGGAACAAGAATATTACTTAGGGGCCGTTTAGCAATACTTACCAGGGTAATTGCTTACCGAAAATATTCAAAACTATCAATTACTTAACGGGTAAGATATTAGTCAATCAAAACAGTATCGTATGCAACAATTAGCCCGGTAAGTGCTAACCGTGGTAAGCGTCGTTGCTGTCACTTACAAGTAAGACTCTCGGTCCTTGTCTTAGCTCTTACTGGGTAAGATTTTTGGTCGTTGCAATGTTGATTCGGTAAGATAATGTGACTTGGTAAGCACTTACCCGAATAAGCGTTTGGTAAACGGCCTCTTAGGAGACGTTTACCAATACTTACCTGAGTAATTGTTTACCGGCAAAATTCAAAACTATCAATTACTTAACGAGTAAGATATTAGTCAATCAAAACGGTATCGTATGCAATAATTAGCCCGGTAACTGCTAACCGTGGTAAGAGTCATCGCTGTCATTTACCGGGTAAGTCTCTCAGTCCTTGCCTTAGTTCTTACTGGGTAAGATTCTTGGTTCTTGCAATATTGATTCGGTAAAATAATGTGACTTGGTAAGCGCTTACCCGAATAAAGGTTTGGTAAACGGCCCCTAATACTTACCAAGAATCCATTTTTTATGACAAATAATGTTACCCGATAAGCGTTTTAGTTTTCAAATGTCTCATTCAGGGTCACGAGTCTACAAGTCTTTCTCATTTCAGTGCTCGTCCTTCGACTCTTCAGTACGGCCAAAGGAGCCTTCTAGGTACTGATCTCCTTGATGATCTTTTTTGTTTCTGGTAGTAAATATTTACTTAATAAGTATTTAATAAACAGCCCCTAAACTTGAGTCCACGATCTTTTAGTGTGTTTGACCACTTTTGTGTTGCTTGATGAAAAACGAAAGCCATTCTACTGCTAAAATATTTATTACAACAAAATTGAGTTTATAGGATATCTAAATCTTTTAAATATCCTAATAGAGTGTATAGGACAAAAAATAATGCATCTTATCTAAAAATGTTACAATAAGTTTATAAGAGCCTTTTGAGAACATTTTTAAAATAAAATGTCGTATTAGCTATTTTACATGACACTATTTGAAAAATGTCTTATAAACACAATGGTCCTGTAGAATGATGGTTTCTCTCAATAAATAGCTAATGCGCCATTTTATTTTATGAAGGTCCAAAAAACCTTGTTACCAACCACAAGGGTGGTGCTTGATTGGTTTGAGCTTGACTCCAAAAATCAAAAGTACCTGGAGGTCTAAAGTTCAAATTCAAGGAGGAATAAAAATCCTCTTGTGGCTACGGAGGTTCAAATGCGGTGACTCCGGGCTATCTGCAAAGCAGGTGGTCCCCCTGGGATTAGTCGTCTCGCATAGCGGGTTGGATATCTAGGTTAATCAAAAAAAAAAAAAACCTTGTTACCCAAAATCATTTTATAAACTTATTGTAACATTTTTAGCTATGACATTTTACTTTTTGATACTATAAACTCAAGTCTTATGAAACATATAAACCCAAGTCTTATAAGCTAGTTGAAGTAACGTTTTAAGAGTTTTTTACCATATTTTTCAATTATAACCTTGAATATTAATTGTTTATATTTATTAATTAATATTAATTCCAATTTATTAATTAAATTATTAGGTATTATTTAATATTAAACTTAACTAATTTTAAAAATTAATTAAATAATTCCAATTTATTACTTCATATTAATTTCACTTCATTAATAATTTTAACTATTAATTAATATTAATTTTAAATTATTAACCAATTTTAATTCTAAATTATTTGTTAATATTAATTATTAATTATTTTAGGATAATTAAAAGATTATAGAAATTTCTATATTAAAATATAAGAAGACAAATATAATATTAAAACACCGTCAACCTTTCGGACTTATTGTTTTGTTCAATTTAGAGGACATAAAAGAGGAATTGACGTTGTTTGTTTATCTCCTAATAGTTTTATTAAAGGCAGTCTCTGAACTGTTAAGAGGTGAATCTTGTTTGATAAAAAAAAAATCTATCTCTTAATGGTTCTAAAACCCTCTTAATGATTTTGTATCTTGAGCCTCTTTTAACCATTCAGTGTCCTAATTCTACTCTTTACAATTAACAAACAATTATATTTTATTTTGCATTATATTATAAGAGCATCTTAATCATTCTGACTGTTTAATCATTTTGTATTAAACCATTCAACAACTGCCAAACAACCCCTTAATCTTGTAGATAAGAAAAGGTTATACGGAAAATTCGTTACAGGTCCGGGATAAAAATAAAATATGGTAAACTAAATCTAGGATCGATCCATACGCTCTCTTAATGACCTGTACCCAGGTCATGTCCACTTAAGAAACCTAATCAGAGTGAGGACGCCATGATAGTATAGCCACCATGGAAGCAATCCCGACTATGGTGCCCCATTGACCGGGTGTTCTAAAAAACGAGAAACAAAAGAGCCACCATGAAATGTGACAATCTCTTAAATATTCAGGGGGTGTTTGGTTCATGGAATTTGGTGGAATTGGAATGTCCAAATCTTTGACCAAATTCCAAATCCCATGTTTGGTTCACATAATTGTGAAGGAATCATTCCATTTCCAACCAATTCCATCCAATTCCTTAATTCATTGATTTCACAATTCCACCGCATATACCACGGATTTCAAATTCCAATCCGACAAATTCCTTAGCCCTCATCCATTCATCGACATTGTATCTCGATTTGTTCTGTTCTGCTATGCTTGATCTCCTTTGCTCGATCTCGTTTAAAACTAAGAATGACAACGGGCCAGGTTCGGGCAGGTTATTGGTATCCCCGTCCCAGAAACCGATAACTAAAACCGTCCCCATGACCGTCCTGATCCCTGTCGGGATCTTATCGGGTCCCGCGGTTTCCCCGATCCCCGTTGGGAATTCGTTAAGGTAAAAATCCTCTTTTTCCCGTTCACCGTTGGTTGTAACCGAACCCGAAACAGATCTAAAAATCCCCGTTAAAATCTCCGTTAAAATCCCCAAATTTAATATTATATATATATGTATATAAATTAAAATAAATATATATACACACATATCAAGCCGGGCCGGGTCGATGATCACCGTCCCCRCCCCCATCCCCGCCCCCGTCCCCGTTAAAATCCCCGAATTTGTCCCCGATCCCCTCCCCGTCCCCGATAAGATGTCCCCGAACCCAGGCTGAAAGTTTCAGTTTCAGTTTTTTTTTGCCTGTAATTTTCTCGTTGAATTCCGTGAACGAAACAAAAAAATTCCAATTCGATTAAGAATTTCATTCCAATTCCATCCAACCAAACGCAATTAAAAGACATGGTCAAATTCCATCAAATTTCATTCCATTCCCTCAAAGTCAAATTTATTTGATAAATTCTAATTCCATTGAATTCCATTCTACGAACCAAACGCTCCCTCAGTGTTCAACAAATAGTCAAATTCATCAAATTCGTAGATATCTTTTTGTTGAAGAATTTGACTATTTGTCAAATTCAACCTACCTTTTAAAACACGTAACTCCTATATAGGTCCTTCAACACTACTCAGGGGGTGTTTGAGATTGCTTATAAAAACAACTTATTGACTTATTCTAGTGTAGTATCGGTAATAAACATTTTTGGGTATTTGGATAAACAACTTACACCGGTGCCAAACCGATAATAAGAAGTTTTTGAAGAAGTTAAACATTTCTGACTTATAATAAGTTGATAAGTGCTTTTATAGAAAAACATAAGTTGTTTCAAATAAACAATCTCAAACACCCCCTCAACACAACATTTCTTACGTTAGGTGTATAGAAGGAAGAAACGGATTTGGTTGGAGAATTTACTTACGTAATAAATAAATAATCATAACTGTATATGGACATTTCAGAAGATTATAAGAAAAATATGGAACTTTTATTTCATCATTATTTAAAATTATGTATTTCTTTTGTTTCACAAATAATAAAATTTTGATATATATTTTAATAAAATATTTAGTTTAATTATTATTTTTGAGAAATTATTGATTAACTAAGGTATGTAAGATTGACCAGGTTTGTTTTCATTTCTATTTTATGTAATGGTTATTTAAAAGGGCAAATTGCATGAAAAAGTAACATACTTTAACTTGATTCCTATTTTGGGTAACGTACTTTCAAAATTTCCATTTTGGTACCTAAGATGTAAAGTTTTAAACATTTAAGTATCCGGGTAACTGGTTGAAGTATTAACCGATTATCATACTGATGTGGCGAGTGATGTAGTATCCAACTCGGTATTATTTGTTGACCTAGTTAGTGACGTGGATTTTTTTAATCTAAAATTAGTCTTTTTTTTAGTCTAAGATTAGTCTTCACTGGG